ATCAAAGCTCAATGATTTTATTTAATAAATTTTAGCTTTTACTGTAAATTTGTAGAAAATCTGAAATCCTTCAAAATAATATAAAGAGTCAATTAATAAAATAATTAAAATTTTTCCAAGCTAAAATTTAATACTTGTCACAAATTTCCTTAAATTTGTGGCATTTATAATTTAAATATTGTTTCTAAAATTAGAAATTAAAAAATTTCATCTTTTATTTTATAATTAATAAAATTCTTCAAACATGTTTTAAAACATAATTTTTAGTATCCAACACATTATTCTTCCAGAACCAAGTGTTAATTTAAATAAAATATACAAAAAAATCCTAAATTTCATACAAGATCAGTGAATACACATAAGGTATCCAATTTACAATCATGCATAAAGTTATTTTTTTTTCAATGTCAACATTGTGGGAATCAATTTCCACACAGTTCTGGTACTTGTACCAGCAAACTGAACAAAAGAGATATAGTAGTACTAGGCTATGTAGTATTAGGCTAGAACTAGGTTAGTACAATGTAAATAGTAGTTAGGTGTACCGCGTAGTTTGTTAAACTCAAATAGTGGTCAAAGGATGGTGCTAATAAATAGGGCGGCTCCGGCGGAAGTAGCCGGAAAGGTGACATCTTGGAGCAGAATGCTGAGCGAGCTAGCGGAGTAGGATCAGAGGTGACTTCCTCCTGCCAGCCCATTGAACGAATCACCTCAGCGTCATAGCCATTGCCTCAAGAAACTTGGTGGAACTCCGATAGGTATAATTCACCTTAATGATTACAGTATAATGCTTTTGTGTGCCTTAATCCAATAAGCGATTAATGATGGGGCCCAATGCGACACCCGGCTACTAACTAAGGTTAGGTAGAACTAGGATTTTGTTTGGCAATTAGTTCGGAGTTATCTAGAAGGAAGTTTTTGGAGTTATTGGAAACTCAGATCTAGAATTTTTGAATCTCGATCCAAAAATCATGGTCTCATGTCCAAGATCTCCAGGATTTTCCAACAAGACTTTGCAGATAAGGATATATAGAAAATTAGTATTTCGAGCCAAGCGACTTAGTAGGATTTAATATCTTGTTTTTCTTGTGGAGTGTGTGTACTTTTCAATTAGCAAAGAAAAGTGATTCTTGTGTGACATAATTCTATGCATGAGTCTAGCGGCAAGGTACATTGTGGATGAATGTTGAATATTTATTCTACTTTGTTTATTCTCTTGTAGATAATTTTGGAGTAGAGACGGTTGAGACCGGTAGCAGGAGATCGTCAGAGTTGCCAGAGGCGGATGCAGGCGGAAGAAACTGGTTCAATCTGAAGTCCGAAGTAGTCTAGAGGGGAGGAGACTCATTGCGATGTGTTTCTGGTGGTCTCTAAGGCATGGTTGATCGTGTTCCAAATTTTAAGTTAAGGCCGGAATTCCCTCATCGAAGAGACAAAAGTCTGCGAGTAGATCTAGAAGATACTCCTTGAAAGATTTCTTGGAAATCACTTAGTAGATTAAGTACATCTTAGACGGAATGTCGTTGTAATCTGGACAGACTCTGTGTGACCGCGTCCGGAATCGGAGTACAACTTGGGCGACGTGAGAGTAGGTCAAGCGCAACTACCAAACTATCAGAAAACGGGTTAGGAGATAATGATAATCAAATCACTTAAAACATACGGGGCAGTGAGGGTCTGATCACTTAAAATATCCGGGTCAATGGTGAAACCAGCCACTCTAGATAAACCGCTCAGTGGTCCCTGCCAATCATTTAAAACTCTGATGAAAAGGTTCAGTCATCTGGATCCGCAGCAATCTGGATCAGTGTAACATCCGGAAGGTACAGCTTTCGGAAGTGTAGGAGAGGTTTTTATCGGGTTTAGAAGGAAACAGTATGTCTCTGTGGGAACGGAAGCGGAGCGATTTGCTCTAGAGCGCATTTAATGCAAATTAGATGCAATATACAGAGATATTGATATGCAAGATTGCTACAAACATCATTTCATTTTTTAATTTTGTTGGGCAAGTAATTAAATTCAAAACATTTATATTTTTAGATTGAAATCCCGACACCAAAACTAAAAATGTGAACTCTAAACTGACTTTTTTTTGGATTTACCTCAAATGGCTTTTTGATAAATTATTATGAATCTAAAATACAAAGATTCATATCTCATCCCAAACACATTATCATTCACTATTTCTCTCTCTGCTTATCACTCAAAGTCAATTATTCATCGTCATTCCAAAATGATAGTGTTATTCAAACTTCTATTGATGATACAAACTCTCACACAAAAAACTCTCCTAATTTGCTTAACATTCTATTCTCTACCTTTCTATTTGCAGTATTTGAGATTTTACCTCAGTAACAAATGATAATTATTATATAACTTATTTTTACTAAAATACACTTTAGTAGATTTGACTGCTGCTCGATATATGGCAGCATGTGATGTGACTTAATCTTATTGAAGTTTTTTAATCTTTATGTTGAGATGTAGACTTGCAATTTGAGAACTTATAAAATCTAGAATTTCCATTTGCCACTAATTCAGTTTTAATCTTAGTTCAACCAATGAAATTTTCAACATTTAATCAAACAAATAAAAACAAAAGTATTTTCAAATTCATTTTTTCTTATAAAGTAAACTTTGATAAATAAAATAAAATTGTAGTGCTCACTGATGACTTTTAGAAATATATCAATTATTCCGCCAAGTATAAATTTCATAGCTAGACATAGTCAAATAACTAGCTAAACTTTACTCATGACTAGAATAAACATTGTCAACTCCTTCTCTAATTTCTTTATAAATTCACACATATAAATATTTTACAATTCACTTTTGACTACTTCGCAAGAACACATTAGTGTATGAAACTGAGACAAGTACTATGTTCAAGGAGAGAACTAGGTCTCTTAGCCCTTAAAAATCAGAACCGAACATATCAAACCCTAAAGTGGATCTCTTGAAAAAGCAATAGACAATCAACACTGGTTAAACTTAATAATTTTATCTTAAATTATCTTTTAAATCCTAATGATTAAAAAAATGATGTATAATAATAAAAATATATTAAATTTGCTCATCATCGCTAGTCAACTAAAATCGCCTATAGAATATAAGATCACCTAAACTGCCTGATCATAATGCAAATTTTTTTAACTTTTGTATCCATTTAACCTCCTATTCCTATCTCAAAAAATTGAACAAGGTACAAACCTCATTACATAATATGTCAATAATACTGCAACATATTTAAGAAGGTATGTAAAGTAATTCCAACTTAAAGATTTGTGTAATCAAATTTTTGTTTTTGACTTTGATTTTAATTGAACGTGTTGTAAGTCTTCATTTATTGTGATACATAAAAAATCTTGCACAAAAATTCTGGACAATACTATACCAGCTTATCAAAAGAATATAGCCTGTTGAGATTTTCTCGCTTTTACTTTTCTTTCCTCCACTCCGGTCCAAACATGATGCCACCATAAATTCAGTTGTGGCGTCTGGCATCTTAGCCTTGGTGAGATATCTCCTTGAAACACGCACACACAATTACAGAAATAGCCCAAAATATTCTCTGTCTATGTTTCTCGTGTGCGAACCAAGAATGTGACCCAAGCACATTGGCCAAATGCAGGGATAGGCTGGTTTTGATGCAGGGTTGTAAAGGTGGGAACGGCGTAAGAGGTATTCGTAAGACCACCTGTGTTGAGCCGTCAACGCAAGTGCCTGCTTCGAGAGCGGTTTGGTCAGCCCCGGAGAGCGGTATCCTCGACCTCCATGTCAAAGCGTCTACTGGCTGGCCGGGGCTAGAAGCGGATTTGTCGTTTTGGGACTTTGTCTTCGACGAAACATTCCGGTCAAAATAGAAGTTTGAATTCTGTCAGCCACGGGCCGGAAGGAGGGAAGCACGCGTCGCAGTAATTCAACCCCCGGGGGATCACTTGCGCTCCACTCCCGCTCGACTACTGAAGCTCGTACCCCAGCCCCAGCCCCACACCCAACCCCAATCCCACCCCCAGCCCCCGGCGGCCGGGACAAAAGCATGCTCTTGTCCTTTTCGGGGCACGTCCGCGGGGGTCGTTTCTTCGTGCATCCGACGGTCCAGCCCCAATCATTGCCCCAGCGTAAATATATATATATATAGAGTCCAAGACCACTAAACACGCTAATAGAACAAAATAGAATACGGGCGGGGCTAGAAATACCGGCTCGCTACCGGTTGGGGGTTCGCGGCGCCGGATATTTCTCTCCGCCGGGTCCGCACGCGACGACTATCCGGGCGGAGAAACTGCCGATCGGCTCGCCTTGCCCCTCGCCGTCGATACGCTGAAATTTTCTTAGGACACACTCGCTCTTTTATACGGGACGGGGGCTTACCGGGTCCGTACAAGGGGTACCGTAGCCTCGAATGGAAGAACGCATGTGACGACGTCGTCGGTCTCCATGCACCTAAGCCCATCACAAAAGCGGGGCTGGGCTTCGCTAATTCAGCGCGCTTCCGCGCGCTGAAAAGGTGCTTGGGGCACGCATGGCTGATTGTCTTCCCCACCCCTACCCCGCTTTCCTGTAGAGTTCTCGAGACACAGACGCTCTTGTAAAGAATGCTCTTATAGTAAAGACGAGACGGGCTGTAGCGAGAGGTCCGTAGGCCCCGAGCGAACGAGTAAGCGCCGAGTCTCATGCGACGTTTCCCCCGAGTCCCCGATCCGGGCTGGGCTAGAAGCCCTTCCTTCCCGTGGCGTCTGTGAAAAATTGGTGCTGGGTGCTTACTTGCCTGGTGCTTGTGGCACTCATGGCTGCCTGGTGCTTGGAGCGTGGTGCCTGCGCTCATTTCAGAGCCCCCTTGCTTGCCCCGGCCACCCGAGCCGGGCCTACGAGTTGATCTGATCCCGTGGCTGGGGCTGGGGGGGTAAGCCGAGGGGGCCGAAGAAACGGGATCTTCAATTCCCGCGAGGGCTGACTGAGCTCAGCTCAATAGTGAGGGCGTGGAGGTCAACCTAACTGTAGCACGTAGCAGGAGGATGGTTTCGTTCTGCGTTGCTACCGTTCTCGCTCCCCCCTTCTTCATCCACGTGGGGGCTGCGCTGTGACCTCCGACTTTTCCTCCCTCTCCTTCCTTTTGGTTTCGGCCTCCTGCCGAACTTCTGATTGTGCCTGGACCAGGCTTCGTCCGACCTCTGTCGGCGCCATGTCGAGTTCGTAAGCGTCTTTCCATCTGCTTCGGTTGCTCGATTCTCCGCCCATCGAATGCTCCATCGAACGATTTTCGAGGGAGCCGGCGGCGACGAGCTGGTCGAGTGCGCGCTTTGGATTTTGTGTTTCCAATTTCTGGAGATTTGAGTGAGCGACGTGTGTGTCTGTGTGTCTGCGTTTGTTTCCGAGTGGTGAGTCGGTCACAGTTGAGGGATTTGGTGATTCTGTCCATTTTTGGGGCTCGAGCGGCGGTCAGACAGACTTCGAGTTCGAGGTTTTGTCTTTGTCAGCGTCTTTTCTGAGGTGGAGAGGAGGAGGAGGAGGAAGAGGAGAGGATAGGAGGAGCTGAATTTGCGCTTCGAAGGTGCCCTTTTCTCCGAAAGACTCGGCTATCTGGCGCGACACTGGTTGCAGCATCCGGCGTCCGCCGCTTCTCGTTGCTTCCTCGCACTTCGTCTTTTGTCTGGACCCCGCCTCCCCCTTTCCTTTTTTCGATTGCTCGACATTCCAATAAATAAAATCCCCCTTTCTCCTGCTCCTCCTCCATAGCTTCCCCACTTGGCTTTTTCTGCGCGAATCCCTCCTCTTCCTCGAGCAGCATTCTCATTCTCAGCTCGCAGCGAGATATATACCCATCGTACTAGTCTCTCTCGTCGGTGTCCATATCATTATCGATTCTTCTCCAGCTCCTCGAATTTGTCCGCCACCCAGCGACGCGGTTTGGGCTATTTCCTTTCTTCAGCTCATTAGCGTCCAATTGGACTCGCAATCTTCCTCGAGCTGTACGTGAAGGTGAGTTTGTGAGTGAGTGAGCACGGCCTCTTTGTCGCTCGCTTGTCATCCATCTCTCAGCGACTGTCGTCAATCGTTCGCTTCCTCGTTATGAAGCGCGGTGCTGTTGTTGGTGTGTTTGCAGTAATCGAGTTATGTCATGATTTATTAGCCAAATTTCTGCGCGCTTGTGCCTATCACTCGGTTGGTGCCCACCATCAATGCCTCCTATGGCGGGAAGGTTTGGGGTTGATGGCTACCGCGCTGGTCGTATGGGCTTCCTTTGCTTCTGCTGCTGATTCTCGTGCTCCTCTCTCTCGTTCTTCTATTTTCTGCTCTTCGCTCTCGGTTGTTCTCCTCTCTGATCGAGCTCGTCATTCTGACAATTCGCTGCCCATTGTTGTCGGTCGGACAGACGAGACGAGGTGAGATGAGATGATGCGGCACGAGATGGTGTTTGAACAAGAGCGAATCGAGTCGGCGGATGTTGTGGAGAGAAGGGCGAGCGATTGTTTCCAGCGCGTACGATGATTTGTCGAATGCAATCGATTTAGGAAGCACTGCCCTCGAGGCGGAATTTCCATCCGTGGTGTCGCAGCAGCAGTGGGTGCTCGTGCGCGGGCACTTCGGATCGATCCAGCAGTTAGGGTTTTAGAGCTGCGGGATTCCTCACTCCCCATTACGCGCGACGAGGCGCGACGAGGCGGATCAAAGCATGAATGGAGGAAAATGCCCTCCTCCTCCAGCAGCAGTGGCAGTCGCAGAAGCAAGAGCCATAGCACGAGCGCGAGCGAGAGGAGCAGCAGCAGCAGCCGAGGCGGCAGGTCAGAATCGTACATGGCTCAGCAGCAGGGCGACAGCAGCGAGCGGGAACAGCAACGGGGACCACTCTCGAGCGCGCAGCAGCTGCTGGAGGAATTAGGGAGCTGGAAGCAGCAGCAGCAGCAACAACAACATTAGGCGATCGATAGACGGGGAGGGAGGGATCGAATCGAGGGTGCCGGCTGGTGATCAGCGGGCTATTGGGGGCGGGGGTGGGGGATAGGACATGATCGAAGAATTCAGGGAGCGACGACGATGAGTACCAACAGCACGACGACGGCGTTCACTGCGAACATGAGCAGAGTGGGGCTGGGGTACGGGATCGCCATAGCCGTGGGCATTCTGGTGCTGGTGTCGACGATCATGCTGGCGTCGTACGTGTGCGTGCGAGTGCATGGGCGAGGGCAGCAGAGCAGCACGACCGCCGTCTCGCCGCAGCAGCAGGCGGGCGACGAGGCGGGGCCCAATCGCGCCGAGTGGCCGTCCATGACCGGGCTCGACCAGGCCACTCTCGAGTCCTACCCGAAGCTCATCTACTCGCAGAGCAGCCCTCTTCCGCACGGCCCTCAGGACACCGCCTGCTCCATCTGCCTGCAGGATTACCGCAACGACGAGGTGCTCCGAATGCTGCCCGATTGCCACCACGTTTTCCACGCCCCGTGCATCGACGCCTGGCTGCGCCTCCATGCCTCGTGCCCCATGTGCCGCAGCTCCCCCCTCCCCACCCCTCAGCTCACCCCCATCTCCACCCCTCTCTCCGAGCTCATCCCTCTGGCTCGCCACCCTCTCCAAGCCCGACCTCATGTTTGAGCCTCTGCTCGAATCCTCCTGCTTCGGGGCGAGCTTGGCTGATTCTCGGGTAGCCAGTGCATGGCAGCATGGCAGGGCAGGGCAGGGCTGGGCTGGGCTGCGGTTGTCCTCCATGGAAACAGGTTGGGGTCTAGGGTTTATCGATGGATGCGGTGCTTTTTCTTAGGAGCTAGCTAGGACGGAGGAATATCTCCTGATCAAGGTGCGGGAGGTGAATGATAGTGTACATACATCAGAGGCTCACGGCTTTGCTTTCGCCTGTAAAATATGTCGGAGATGATGATGATGATGGTGGTGGTGGTGAAGATATGTCGGCGAGTGGCTCGAAGGGGCTGTGCTCTTTCTCGATCTGATTGTTTACGACGCAAAAGAATCGTCAACCGTTTAGTCACACCCACGAGCAGCTCACTGCTGCAGCAGCAGCAGCAACAGATGTCAGTCGTTGACACCAAATGTACTCACTCAGTTAAAACTAAAATTGCAATTTTGTTTCTAGAGATACAGTAAAATTCAGGTCACTCGTTACTTGCTCGAGCTTTGTACCTCTTCACATCTCTTGCCTCCTCACTTCTCCGTTCGGGACTGTGCATGATGAATCACCTCATGGCTTACTTGCTGCCTGCCCTCCATGTGCACGACGGCCCCGTCTGATTATCGAGTCCCCCCTGAACATATGCCCTGGCCACTGCACGGCCCCCCGTCGAGCCAGTCCTCGAAATGGCAGGTATCAGTGGTTATTCCCTTTCTCTTGTTAGGGCCTGACCTACGATGCCTCTGGCGCTACCCGAAGTGTTTGGCAGAATTTTCAGGCAAATTTTGGTTGCTTGCACTGGCCCTATCACACTTGCCCGCCCACACTCTCTGAGGTGAAGGAGCAGCATTTCTGATACGGCTGCTCTGTCAGTCAGTCAGTAGTCAGTCATTCTTTCGTTTCATCTTGTTTGGGAGCCTGGGACGTCTGCGCATGAAGAATTTGAGGACGGTCCAGGCTAAGACCTCTTAGGGGGAGCGAGGGGCGAGGGGTGAGGCCATGGAGAGCCTTTGTACAGCAGCAGCAGCTGCTGCTGCGAGTCCAGGACGACGAGAGAAGAATAAGAGACACAATCGTCAGAGACGGGAAGCATTGACTTTGAAACGCCGTGGAGTCACTTTTTTCGATGGATAGAGAACATCATTGCGCCTAGTCTGCCTGAAATCGAGCCTCCCTCGCTCACGAGTCGTCTGCACCAGTGAAAGGCCTCTGATGGCCCCCTACATCTCATCTACTCCCCGACCTAGTAATGGACTTTCCGCACCGCTCACGTTCTAAGGCCGGCTGGACATACGGTCCCACATGTATCAGATGCCCTCTCACCTCCTCTCCCTCGAGCTGAGCTCGACTTTCCCTCGTACTCCCATGCCTCCATGGATGCTCTGCTCAGCTCACTTGGCTCCCAATTTAACTCCGGTTGGCTTCACTCCTCCAAGTCCAACTCTGCCAACCACATGATTCCCACGCTTGCGTGCCTCTTCGGACACACGACCACCATTCCTCTCAACTTCAATGTCAACACCCGCACCTCACACTCCGAGTAAGTCAATCAATCTGCTAGCCGTAGAAATAATAAAGAGCTGGGCGGGCGACCAGTGATTGCAATCGAACAGTGGATCTCACTGATGAAGCTCCCTCCCTCTCAAGTCTCGTTCGGATTCGGACTCAAACCGAATTGGCAGGCCAAGCGACTTCAAGGGTTGCACAGTATCTCTGGATGTGTCGGGCACTGCGGTCTGTCTGTCTCTCGTCCAGCTTCCTTGCATCAGGGGAGGGAGAGGACATGGCAGGAATTTGAGTCGTCGTCGACATCATTGGAACTGTTCACCGAGCTGGTGAATTTACGTGCTCTTTGAATGTTGGAGAGGTTAGCCCGTAGGCCCCGAAGGCCCCGAGATCCTGCAGTGAGTGGTGGTCCAGTGAGCCTAGTGGTAGCAAGTGGTAGGAGTATTGCATGCTCTGTGCTCCAGTTGCTAGCCCAGCAGGAGAATTTCAGAGGTGCATCGCTTCGCTTGCTCGGTCACTCGGTCACTGGGTGCCATGGCAGAGGGCAAGCACAGACTCTGGCAATGCAGTGAGCACTCATTCCCATGCATATACTGTACGTGTACATGTATACGATTTGTTCATTTGGGGACAGGCTAGGAGGAAGGGCAGGGCTAGGGAGGTAAAGGTGGCGTTCGGTCATTTCATCTTCATGGCACCGAGAGGAATTATTGTGAATTTCATGCTCGGGTCTGGATCCAAACCTAGGGGAATGGAGATGACACTTCTGTGGACTCTGTGAAGGTGAAGAAGGTCCATGGACTGCGATCGTCACCATCCGCCATGACGTTTTCTCGTGGCCTATCAAAGCAAGCGGGCACTAGCAATGAGAAACTCTCGAGGCTCAAAAGTTCCAACCTCGTTGCAGGTCCAGCTCCGTGGGCCCCCGGGGATGAACTAACTTACCGAACTCGGAGGAGGTAGCAGATCCAGACTTCTTCGATCCCTGCCCCACTGAACTCTTCATTCCACTGGCCGGATCTCCAACCGACCTTCAAACCACCAGCACTGAGTCTCAGTTGGGGTGGCGTAGGGTGCTTTCAGGTGGGCTGAGCTCACTGTGGAAGGCCTGAAGTAAACACAAATCGCTTGCAGACGTTCACTGCATTGAAATCCCACCTGCTTATCCGGCCTACCACTTCGTGCTGCCATCTGTAGAGTGTCGGCATCGCTGGCCTCGACTGGGAAGTGGGAACCGGTGGAAGAAGATTTTTCCTTGGCTGCCTTGAATGCCTCACCTGCTTGCTCACACATAACCTGGTTCGAGTTGGATGATACGGTTCGTTGGACAATGGATACTGCGGATACTCAAATGGATAGAGAGATGGATAGATACTTGGGATCGAGGAGACAAGGCTGGTAGGTCCCTCCTCCTCTTTGAGACACGGAGGAGCAGCAGGAAGGATGCAAATCGTCGTCTGCTTTGTTGTTTCTGTGGTTGTTGTTGTTGTACTGTATCGTATGTACAACAGTGATCAACTTTAGAAAAGGACATGAACTTCGGGACACGTGCTGGTGCTGGTGCTGCTGCATCAGGATTCAGGTGCCATGTCTCAGCCCAAAGAAGGTCTCTCACCCCCACCTTTACAGCCAACCCATCGATCGGCTCATGTCTGCCTGCCTCTACTACTAAACCTTCCACCCCACTGCAACTTCAACTCCAGCTGCTGTCTATACTCCTCGGAGCTCAATCAACCGACTGCCCCGATTTCAACTTTCTGCTGTTTCTGTTGCTGTTCATGTTCATGTTCACGTTTGTTTCTTCGACGCTTCAGAGAATGGGATGGGCCGGGGAGAGAGAATCCGACGGATCCGGAGTCGGCTCCCAACTTCGATGCGCTCTTTGTGTCCGTCTGGTCTGCTGGAGAATGTTGGGTGTGCAAGATTTGCAAAGAATCGATTATGGTTTCAAGTTCAGGCCAGCGATAGTTCCCGTCTATTGTACTGTCGACGAGGAAAACAGACGTGGTTTTGACCTGCTCCTACTCCCGTCGCCCTCCTCGTTCTCTTCGCTTTGCTTTGCTTAGTGGTGCTGCTGCTGCATCCATGCGTGAGCTCGGGAGAACACCATCTTGTCTGATTTTGTAGTTTCATGTCGGACCTGCTGCAGTCAGTGACAATCTAACCTCCTGGAGTCAGTCAGTCGCACAGTCGATAGAGTCGAGGGCCGGGTACCATGAACGACACTCAGAAGCTGAAATGGAAAGAAGAAGAAGAAGAAGAAGAGGAGAAGGTGGAGGACTGAAGGATCTCGATCTGGCTTTTTTGAACAATACGACCAACTTCGTCAGCTAATAAACATAAAAAACACTTTTGAACAAAAAATCATTTCGTCTCATCTGTACTCGAAACCGAATTAAAGAATAGTTTCACTTCAGCTTCAGAGATGCCACCCATTCTCCCATGCTTCGAGCTTTTACAGTCGCGTCTTTCTTGTAACGCTTTGAGAATCTTCCGGTGAAGTGTCCTCGGGTCAAGTCTGTGGATATCAGATAGCACCACGTTCCACTTTTCGGTCAAGATTGAAAGTATTGGAAATAGACAGAAAGACGAAAAGTTGAGCATGGAAGCAGATGCTCTCTTTGAACTTCATAGTTCGGATATTGTAAGAGCAGGAGGACAGATTTCTCTATGTGATGTTTTGACATGCCTTCAAGGCTTGATGGGGTGTTCCCATCGTTTTTGCTGTATTACTTATCCCTTACTAGTACTCATCACGCAACCAACAAAGAAGAAGAAGAAGAAGTAGACATGGTGTCAATTGCTGCGGCCACTGGAGGGAGGAGGAAGAGGAGGAAACGAGCTTTGCTTTGATCGATGGGATGAGATGGATGCTTGGATGGCTGGCTGGCTGGCTGGCGACCGGGGGACCATATTGTTTGCTTGTCCTTGCTGTAAGGACAGCATCAGATCAGACCGACCAACTTGGGGGCGCCCTTTTGAGCCTCCTGCCGACTGCTAACCTCCAAACGAAAGTACACACACTTTGCTATGCGAGGGATTGAGAGTCGGAGAGGGAGGTGAAGTCAACCATTTGTCCATAGGACAAATGGCAGGACTGCGGCTCCTCCTTGGCTGTCCTCATCAAGTCCCTGCTGCTGTAACGATTTTCCTCCTCTCTCATAATAGTGGACTCATGAAGCTCCTCAAAAGTCGAGAGAGAGAGCATCACATCAAATCACTCTTGTCTACTCTAGAGCCCATACGGGACTCGGGTGGGCTTGAAACCGTCGTCCTGCCTTACGCTTGTAATCAGGAGAGAACCAGAACGGATTCCAACCCCGAGAGATTCAACTGAGCTACCAACCAACCACTTAACCATCTCTCGAGTTTAATTCCGACCGAGTCCACTTTTAACATATTCAATCTCTTTGTGTCTTTGATGCTTTTCGTAGCTTTTGGGTTTTCTTAGCTTGGAGACTTTTCTGTTGAGATGTGGTCGCGAGTTAGGGATGGGCACGACTCGACTCAAGTCAACTAACAGTGGGCTGCTAGTCGACGATTAAGTCGACGATTAAGTCGACTCAAGTCGATTATATTGGGCGTTTCAAGCCGTATGAAGCATGGTGTTGTATTTTACAATGAGCATTGAAGTTAAGAACGTTTCGCCATGTCGTCCAAAAGACAATTCCACGAACGGAGTTGCATCATCATTTTCAGATTTTCGTCAACAAGACGATACCGGTCAGCACGCGCAAAATGGCCGCTATCGGAGAGAGACAACTCAGAAGGAACCAATGAGCCCTTGCACATTAGTTTGTCGCGCGCCGGCAGCGCGATATGCGGGAAGCGCTTGGCGCCAGTTGCGAGCCATCATTCGATGGGGTCTGCATACAAATCATCCGCTTTTCGAGTAACATCAAAGAAAACGTTGATCTCATCTTGCGTTGACGTTGGATCGGGAGCGCCGCCATCGGCAACACATGAAGCGCGCTTGCGCCTAGCCTTCTCCAAGAG